CATCACAGATGAGCTTCATACATGTGCACATCTCTACGACCATGAATGAAGGTCTCGTATCAAACACATGGAGACATCATCAAGCAGGCGAGCCAGCAGTGTGTTTAGACATCTATTAATTGGACTGCTCTTCCCACGGTTTCCATGAAAACGACCACATCAGGACGACGAGACGAGCCTCTCTTCTTCATTACTACCAGTAGGAAATTGCCTAAACCTTTCCCACCTGCAGGGGCCATCAACCTTTTGCATCTGTGACACTCATGTTCACATGATACAACTCCAAGTAACTGTTGGCCTTCGCTTATTGTTCTTGAAGAGACGACAAGTAATTGGATTGACTGCCTTTGCATGTGCATGTGGTAGGTCGAATATATATATATATATATATATATATATATATATATATATATATATATATATGATATCGATATGCCTTTTCACGGTGACAAAATTAAAATTTTCTGATAGAAATATAAGGCTGTTGTTGTGCCATATCGGCTTGGAAGCATTAACGCAGGTTGACCCATACTTGGAGTCTTATTGGTGTAGCACCATCAGCCATTCAACCATGTTGACTCCCCGCTCACACAAATCAATTGAACGACAACCCATTCAATGGCACCATCAATAATGGACCTACAATATTTTCACACGCAGAGAGTTTATGGAGATAGTGGGAAAACATAAAATCGATTAAATGGTTTGCTCCCTGCAGGTTGCAATTTCCTGGAGAATGGTATGTTCACTTTTCTCAACAGATTTTTGTCTGCAAATATGTTTTGGAGAAGCAATTTGCCTCAAACTTTTTACCTCGAAATGTTGTGATTTGTCATAATTGACTTGTAGATTAGTTGTATTTTGTTAATAAAAAGAAAAAAAAAGATAATTTTATGCAAGCTAATTTGCAAAGATGAACAAACAAAATGACAGAGAGGTCCCATCGCATTGAAGGTGATGTGCGTGACTATAGCCATGACGCAAGTCCGCTTTATCATTTCCAGCTAATAAATATGCTTTTATTGCACTCCCAAAGCAACACAGCAGCCTCGAATTCATTGCATTCAAACATCACAAGATTAATGTTGCTTCCTTTTTATTTTAAGAGATCCTATTGGAGTGACGACGTATTTCTGATTACAAATTCTGATATACCAGAGATATCCCAAGCGATACATTTTAGTTGACTTATGTGAGCTTTAAGGCTTTCTCTGTCTTTAACCTCCTTAATGACTTTCTAATCACTCCAATGCCTTATGTTAGACCATTGTCCTAGCAAAATTAAAAAGGAAAAGTTCTTCGACCATCTTTTTAGTTGATCAGATGTCGTAATATGGTTGGTGTTAAAAAGATCGACTAGAGATTTCTTATAAAAATCTTAATTCCTATCGTCAATTCCTAACAAAAATAGTAAATTTTGAATTCAGTAGATTATTTTCTTTTGTACTGTACACAAAATTAATGGAACAATGACTTTTTGAATGGAATGAATGATCGTAATAGATGTTAGCTTAATTTGAAGAAAATTATATACACAATTTATAGAATTATTGAGAAGCTATGTGTCTGAAAATTGATTTCTAGGATCGAAGTTATATAATCTATAATATACACCAACATAGAACAAACATGGATTCGAAGAAGTTCTTCGTAATAAAAGATATATTGTACCTTAAATATTGGTTCGATAATAATGCATCAGACCTTTTTACCAAAGGATATCCAACCAAAAGAAGGAATTAAATATTAATATTATTTAAAAAATAAAAACATAAAAATATTTTTTATACGATTGGTCTTTTTCAATATTCATTTCTCATATTAAAAATATAAACCCATCATTTCTTGTACTAGTCATATTAAGTTGTTCATGCACACAACTTTTTTTTTAGTTTTATCCATTTGTCATAATTTCATATAGCTACTCTAATATCCTCATCTTCTGCACAGATATCTTTAGGTTATTCTTGTGTTGATACTTTCCAAACCTTCATTTACTTCACTTAGCTTAATTTTATAATTCAATATATGATTTTTTTTCATCATCATCATCATGTCCTCTTCTCAAAACTAAATTACCTACATAATATTCATTAATATAAAAGTCATTTCATTTTTTTTCTGATCTCAATCTGACATATTTGTTGTGTTCCTCCTTTCATCATCCCAGTTTGGGTACCAATCACAAGAAAAAGCTATTCACAGACCTTTTAGCTTTGTCTCCCAACAACATCACGTCTTCTATAATTGTTCTCACTTGCAGAAGTTTACAACTTAATGTTTCCATTCGAATGACTAATACTCTTTTGATGCAATAAAACTATTCCTTGAAGTCTCCAAGAGTACCTTAATTTAGCTATCATCATAAGCTTACATGATATGTATTGATTAATATCAAGATTTTCCCCAGATCTCAAACCTGCTTTAAAAGCCTCATATCATCGACTGCTGCCACCACATCTAAAGATCCACATTTTGGAACTATTTAATTGATCATACACAAGAAAAGAAGTGAGAAAATTAATTACCTATGTCCATGCTGGTATCATTGATTGCCAATATGTCAAACTATCAGTCACTTAGTCGAAAAGAATGGCCAAACACGTAGCACATGGACAGGTGGATCCATGCAACTTATGGCTCAAAACCAGCCACCCAGCATGCACGATATAAATGATCACATCAACTGCCTCAAGAAGATGCCGGTGAGATGACACATCATAGAGAAGACATCTTATCAGCGTGTAACCCTCTTGATAAGTCCATGGTTCGGTCACACGGTGATGGCATTTAGATGGCTTTATCTCTCTCTCTCAAAGAGCATTCAATGAGGTGTAAGAAATAGCGATTTAAGAAGACTGACGATCAAATGATCCCAATTTATCCTAGTGTTTAAGCTTTCCCAGCAGCCTAGTAAAAGCTCGTCTTAGGGAAACAGAAGCATATTAATCTGCACCGAGGGCACTAAATATTGATGGCATTATCGAAGGGTAGTCCTCTTGTCCTATAACTCAATAATGAGGTTAACTTGGCCCCCGAGAAGTTGGGACGTAATTAATGTGACTGCTTTGGGCAACATCAGGGAAATTTATAGATCACGATCTGGAAAGTTTGATTGAGATTCTTATTACATTATACGTTTCCACAGGTTTTCATTCTGCGAACAGGAGTGAGATTAAAGTTGATGTAAAATTTCAGTAGGAAATATGTCGTCATTCATCTATTACATGATATTTGGATTCTTGAAGGCAAAAAGTGAAATTGGGATTGAAGAACTTGAGCCAGCTTTATAAATATCTTTCGACTCATTTCTATGGTCATTTTGTTTATGTAAATTGATGTGCTTTTGTTTTGACAATTAAAGAATTTCCACTTTGTAGAACAGTTGATGTTTTTTTCCATAGTGTTCATTTTTTTCCTTTTCCCTTTTTTCTTTGTTTTTGTTTCTTCTATATCGCGTAGTTTGGAAGATAAAAATATGCATATTCATCAGAAAAAAAAGATTAAAAATTGTTCTTGGTAAATAGGTATGCCGAAAAGACTTTTTGATGACATTCAAAATGATGAGAAGTTTGATGATGGATAAGGTAATAATTAAAGGAGGCAAGAACATGTGAGATCCAAAAATAATCAAATCAATAAATGAATGAAGAATAAGATGGAAACTACAAACAAAGTGTGTGTGTGTGTGTGTGTGTGTATATATATATATATATATATATATATATATCCTTTGGTGTTATTTATTATGGAAGAACAAAATATATATTATTTGGAAAATAGAGGTTATTTACGTGAACTTTTGTATGTATGTGTAAACTGTTGATTCCACTAAATGATCAAAGAGGAAATCTTAGGTCTATGCAAAGGTGCATTCAAAGCTTCCGAAGAAAATAGAGCTTGTTCTTATCACAAATAAATGCTAAGAAATAAATGACCCAAAGATGATGAGCATATCCAGTTGCTTAGCAGCAATGCTTTGGTTTTGGTACAGATATAGATCATATAATTACAACTGATACATTTTGTGAACAAGTGTAATGTTGCCACCTCGCAATTGGTGATTTGATCTTAGACATAAATGAATGACAAATCATATTCTCTCTATTTTGAGTTCTGTGGAATTTAGCCTGCCATCTGTTCCTAACAAAAAGATGTTCTTCAATTCGTACCGAGATTGTTCGTTTTCATCATTCAATTTGAATCAGCTGACTAATGTGAGAACGTTACATCCCAGTGGAAGTCGTGTTAATATCCCATCTACCTGTCTTGTTTAACTTCAATTTTCAAGATTATGCTCTTGAATATTTAAACCTGATTTTTAATTTCTATTTTTAATAATAATAATAATTAACCTCATCTGGATTGCTATCCAACAATTTAAGTGCGAGTTATAGTTTTTGGATTATTAGGAAAACACAATCTCTCCAATGAAATAAAGCATGAATTATGCGTGGCAGTTTGCTTTCCTTGGATTGATTTTGACAAATGTCGCACGGTCAAATCAGACAACGTCGTCAATGTGGAAGATGTCATGTCTCTCTCACGCAATAACCATATATATTGTATCTCACTGTCTCTCTCTCTCTCTCTCTCTCTCTCTAAATGTAATTGTAACTCTACCATGCACTACGTTTACGGTCATGCAAAAACTCTTCGGTAGCAGAGAAACGCAATAACTAGGGTTTCTGCATGGTAATACCGATCATTACCGACAGTAAGTACGGATTCAAATAGGTAAAGGATAATTAGGGTTTCTGCATGAAGAATAGCTGACAATTACTGGCAGTAACTACAAGCTTAAGTTAGGTGAGATTGAAAGTGGCTTGACATCAAGAAGGCCCATTCATTAAGCAGTTTTTTCCCGGTGTAAGCTCATTGAATGCACGCAGTTTTCTGAAGCATAGAGAGATAAAAAGGAGGAGGAGGTGTCTTCATCTCTGTACGCCACCAAGCTAGCTGATTTCAGAGAACCCCTAAGAGTGGTAAATGCTTCCTTGCTGTCTTCTTTTGACTCCACCACACCGAGGCCTCTCCCCTCTCGGCTCATCTGGCCTCTCTAAGGGTCAAAGCAGTGGAGCTCTTCCTCCACTCAGGTCTCTTCAGTATATATATGACAGCCTACCGCTGCCTTGGACCCTTGTCTGTGACTCCCTCCGAGAAGGAAGAATAGGAGGCGAATACATTCATCACCTGTCCTGTTGTTAGTCTGCTGGAGAGGATTGTGTGACATGGGCAGACCTCCTTGCTGTGATAAGGTAGGTGTGAAGAAGGGTCCTTGGACTCCGGAAGAGGACCTCATGCTGGTCTCCTACATCCAACAGCATGGACCTGGTAACTGGAAGGCTGTGCCTGCCAACACGGGTGAGCTTCTTTTCTCTGTTTCGGGATCATGGTATAGCTCTCACCAGATCCAACACAGACATGTTGGTTCTGGGTATCGTAAGCTAGCAACTATACATTCTTTTCTTGATTGCCGGTTAGAATCGCAAAACTTTCGGTTTAGATCGTATGGATCTAGAAGGGTGATCCCTTTTCCCCTGGCCAGGTTTATTGAGATGTAGTAAGAGTTGTAGGCTCAGATGGACAAACTACCTCAGGCCGGGGATCAAGCGTGGCAACTTCACAGAGCAAGAGGAGAAGCTCATCATCCATCTCCAGGCTCTTCTCGGGAACAGGTAAACAACACACATACAACCAAAGATACTTGGTTCCCCTATAATTACGGAGAACCTAATCAATGTGAATCTGCCAGAACTTATGGCTGGAATAATTATTCTTGGGGGAATTTACTGCAGATGGGCAGCCATAGCTTCTTACCTTCCGGAGAGGACGGACAATGACATCAAGAACTTCTGGAACACCCATCTGAAGAAGAAACTGAAGAAGATGCAAAACTTCGAAGATGATACCAACAAATTTGGGCTCTCCATTCACCAACCCATCTCCAAAGGCCAGTGGGAGAGGAGGCTGCAAACTGACATCCACACCGCGAAGCAAGCACTTCGTGAAGCCTTGTACTTCGAGAAACCAAGTTACCACGGTGACTTGAGGCCCTCCGTCGGCTACTGCTCTTCCACAAATGCCGGTCCGCAGGTGCCATCTGCCACATACGCATCAAGCACGGAGAACATATCTCGAATGCTCGAGGGGTGGATGAAGAACTCGCCCAAGAAAAGAACTTCCCCATCAAACTCGGACTCGTCCCAACGCTCGACGAACCACCCGGCTGCGACCGAGTCCGCGTCCAGCGAGGAGTCAGCCGCCGTTGCCAACAAGATACTGTCACCCGCGGGGCTCAACTCCTTCCTCAACTTCGAACCTTCTGCATCCGAGGTGTCAGACGCCAGCCTTTTCCAGGGCGAGAGTAAGCCCGACGTAGAGACTCCGATGCCTCTGGCTTTGCTTGAGACTTGGCTCTTCGATGAAAGCATCGGACAAGGTGGTGCTGCCCTAGCTGACATGCCATTTGATGACACTGCAGGGTTGTTCTAGTAGCATTAATTTTCTTGGTTAAGGGTTCCGTTCATCGTTCTTTTTCGTGTAGGCCTTCGAAATAAGCTTCACCGTTTCTTAGTAGTCGATGATTGATCACAAAGACCCTCCAAGCAAGGAAATAAGTGTATATTCTAAAGATCTAGATAGAAAAAGACTACGACTTTATTCCAACCTGTATATGCTGTATATGGGGTCTGCTACGGGAACAATTGCAACTGCTTTTTCTTTTCTCTAGTTTTTACTAGATCAAACATATGTATGCACAGCACTGCTATGAATCTTGGCGTTTGTTCTTGTATGTTTTTGTCCTTCTTCTGCGATCTATAAACTGCGGAGATAAGTACGAGACATATGGGAGGAGGTCATAGATTGTGTCATCTTTAACGTCAGTGACCGAATGGGTACCACAGGGCTTGCGAACAAGTGAGAACAAGATTGAGCTGTGTTATTTTGACCTTCTGGAAAACCTCTGACCTGTTACTTGGATGTTGGGCGTTGCATTTACATCTGTCATTGTTTCGACTTGCATGGCCGATCGGTTGGTTGCTTCTGACCACATGAAGAAGACAGTGGCAGTCTTATTACCATATCCTCGACACTCCGAAAACTGCTGATATATGTTAAGTTAATGACAAAGGCAACGTCGACTAGCCTTCTCGTTGAGATCCATCTGCATGTTCTCCATATTACAGACTCAGCACCACAAAAATCTCACTGGACCGGAGAGGGAAGAACAGCTTGAAACTCGGGCATCATATCTTGGAAACGTGCAAAGATGACCTTAAATGCCCAACATGTGACGTCTCCGCTCTTCTTTTTTCTCTTGTTTCTAACAGTTGGAGTTGCCAGTTGTCAGAAACTTTTGGATCATGCATGAACCCGAGCTGGAAAAGCTTGGAAACTCAAAGGACTCTCATGCATGCCATGAACTTATGACAATGGGGGAAGTCCCTTTAAGCTTCATAACTGTAACGAGGGACTGTAGAGTGACTGCAGTGGCTTAAATGCTCAGGAGTAAACTGAATGATGCTCCTGCTCTACATGTGATTGTCCCCATTGGTCAGAATTCAGAACTCTTAGCTGCAGCGTAGGGAAAAAAAAGTAAAAGAAAAAAGAAGAAGAGATTTTTGGAAATTTGGTGCCATGCATGATGATGTCCAGAAGATGGATCACAACCAACAAGAGTGTTGCACATTCTGACCTCTTCTTGAGTAACACGCTGCCATTGCGCAGTTACTATCTTCTTCTTGTTCGTGTATAAACAAAGTTGTTCACGAGAGAAGAACCACAAGCCCCACCCTGCACCGTGCAAGATCATCCTCCATAAGTGTTGCTGCCATTACTCCTACACTTGCAGACACCACCATGTGCACCATAGCAGTCCTTGAAGAAGGCCATGTGGATTAGTTTATCTCAAGGCAGGGGCATTCAAATGACTCGAAGGGGAATCTATTAGCTCGTCCGCAGTATTATCTGCTAGTTCATTCTTTGTTGGCATGGCCCCATACTAGGTAGGTATCAAAGAATCTGACAGCTTGGAGCAGTAGTTAACAGAGCCTACTTAATTATATGAGATTAATATGTGGCCTAACAGGCTTAATTTCTAGTGTCTCCAAAACCGTGGATTCGAGTCCTATCCATCTATGGGAGCATAATTTGATGGGAAAGATCAGTAATTTCGTTTGGCATACACATTCTGCCAAATAAATGATATATTTGGTGACATTAAAACTTGGACTGCCCATCGACACTATTTGTAGTTATTGTGGATGATTCGAAGTTACAAAAGCTTTGATTTCTTTACGAGTAGTATTTATTGCAGATCAATAATCTGCATGTTCTACAGGTCCATGCAGTGAAGTGTGCTTGTGTCCTCACAGTGGGCAAGCTTGTACACTCCTGAAACGATGGGCTCATGCGTCTTCTACGTACGACAGGAGAGAGAATGGCTGCGTCTTGAAGACCGAGAGATGCGCGAGCATGAACTGCATGTACGTGTTTGATGCTGGAGAGATACACGAGCAGTATAGGAGTCCTCTCTCTTAATGCATGCCTTCGTTGACGGCTTAAAACCATCCCGTTCTCGTCTGGTCTATAAATATATATACGGATTGCGTTGACGGATGTCAGCTTAGCAAACAAAGTAAGAGATTTTGAAGGGAGGATTTTCTTCACTAGAATAGAGAATTTTCCATAAGATGGTGCTCCTATGGATACCAATCTTAGATTGATGCAAAGCAAACTGCAATAGAGGAAGCTACAACAACGGAGGAAGCTGCAACGATGCTATAATAAAGAAGAAGACTACAGTAAAGGAGAAAAGGTGGGGAAGTGCTAGTGAGCACAACACTAAAGACGCCACAGCGGAAGGGAACGAACGTTGGCGCAGAGTGGTAGTAAGGAAGACAGTTGCCATTTGCTGAGGAAGAAAGATTTGTTGCACCTATGGCCTGATGACGGAAAAACAGTACTAGAAAAGGAAAAGCAGTAGTAGAAAGTCTTTTCTTTTGTCGCCGGAGGTGGAGAAGTAACAGTGATGAGTCGACAGCGAGAAAAGAGCTTGCTCTAGATGATTCTACAATGACCCTCCGATGTTTAATTTAGTGAAATCAGAAGATTGGCATGATCCTTATTACGCATGAGGAGTTGATCAAAGATGATATACGACAGATACAAATTCAACTCCGGACTTGGGTTTGGATAGTAAGTTTTAATTGGGTTTGGGCCCGAGTGAACATGACCACAATCCGATCCATCTACAGCCCTACCTAATAAACTTAGCTAACAAAATGACATGTAAATATAAAGAATGAACAGTAAAGTACTCGTACACAAATATTTCTTCTCCAACATAAGAATATGATTACTATCGTCACATCGTCGTCAAGCAATGCCAAAGTGTTTGGTTCCTCCGTTGACCGCAGAAATGAGGCATAGAAAATACCAAGCAAAACTGAAACAGGCAACAGTGACAGACAATAATGCCACCATAATCTTTGTCTAACTTCAATTTATGATCGCTTGGAATAAAGAGGAAAAGGACAGAAAGGCGAGTAGTGCATCCCAACTTTCGGCTTGCTTCTATCGATTTGGGGATAAGATCCATGTCGTCATCTCTTCCACAGAATCCTTCAGCAGTTTGACTGCTTTAGGGACTTGGATATGCATGCAATTTGTTGGCTCCTCCCATTCATTTGTGGTGTTTGGTTCTCCTTAGCTCGAATGGGTTATTTGATGACACACAGACGGCTTTAGGACATCATCATCCTAAGTTCTTCGGTTTCTTTTTTGGTGTAAGTAATTCTTTCTAAAAATTTATTTATTTTTCATATATTTATGAGTAGATATTTTGATATAATACCACAGCTTAGTTTGACCTAAAAAAGTATAGATAAAGACACGAACTAAATTTAATGATCTAATGAGTGTATAACCATTTAATATTTTAATTGACTTATAAAAGTTTAATAAGTAATGCATTAGTATTGATTTGAGCTTAATATTTTGAACTATATGATTTTAGATACGTTAAACTAGTTTAACGGATAAGTAATTCCATCAAATTGAGTTATGACCTTAATATCGTGCAAGAATCGATGAACTCAGAAAACTAGAATAAATTGCATGTCACGTTCTCCCATTATATGTGAGCTCAATAATTTGCACTTACGTGAATATAAAAGAAAAATTAAGAGACAAAAAGGAAGAATCTCTGCACTTTCATTCGAAATTAGGACCAAATATCTTCCAATTTACCTTGAAAATATTGATTGGATTGATTCGGAGTTTCATCAGTTAATTAAAATAATATGTTATTTGCTTCCTTTCCTAAGCCTGAGTTCATGAACAGCTCAAAGAACATGCAACTTAGTTGAGCATAACCTTTATTGGAATAACAAGTCACCCCACCAAATTGATATACAACATAAACCTTTATTGGAATATTTGAATATATAATCCTTTTTCTTTTTGTCACATATGGTATCATAAATCTAAAGTTAGATTTCTCAATATCAGTTTTTTGCATGAAATAAAAAGGATTATTGAGTCTTCAATCTAAATCATCTTCCATTAAGTCCTTTGTTGAATGTTACTTAGAAAGAAATCAACAATTAAAAACAAACACAAATTACTTTGCTCAATTTTGTCATCTTTGATTTGTTTTTGTTGAGGATACATAATTTATATATTTGCAAATACTCATACAATTTTATAATTCTATAAATTTTAGCATAGTCAAAGTTTGAATATATCTTAAATCGTATTGATTTAAAATGTCTATATCTTATAAGTTAGAAACTATTTAACTCATCCGAAATAAAATTTAGAATTGATCTATGAATACTTTGAGTTAATTTATAGGATAATAATACTTTAAACAAATTGTTGAAGATTGATAGAGATAGAAGTAAGAGGTGGATATGGTGCACCCAACTAATATTACTTAGTCTTAATCCAACTTGTGTTGAAACTCTTTTGATATGCTTGGTGTGTCATCGAGCATCCGATATGAAATCGATTTGTATTAAGATTAATATTAAATATGGTTATTGGTGTAGCCCATCCAATGCTTAAATTAGATTTTGATATGGATTAATAATAGATGAGAGTAAAAGATGAGGCTTTGATAATCATGGTTTATCTTTTCTATTGATACGATGTTGATGCTTTTGTCTTAGAGATAATATGTAAGGAAAAAAAAATTAAGTTATTAAAAAAATAATTTATTAAAAAAGATATTATATATATATTAAAAAAAAGCTTTTGATATTATCTTCATCGCTTATCATTTATTAAAAAAATCAATGTTTAATTTGCCAAATTAAGTTATATATATATATATATATATATATATATATATATTAATGGCGAACCTATAATTTATACTTTGCATGGCTATTGGTAAGATATTAAAATTTTGTACAATGCAAAACTCATATTTCATTTACCATATTCAAATTGTTTATTAATGGACAACTTAATTAGTCATTTGCATAAACTAATCACAGGCTTACGGAGGATGATGCCACCCATGTAACAAATGATAATACTTACAATAAAAGGAAAAAATATATAATTACTCATACAAGCAAAGAACAAGACAGAGTGAGCAGAAAAATAGAGACTCACAATAAAAGAAAATATAGCTATTCATAATATCAAGCTCTACAAGGTTAAAAAATATAATTAATGGAGTGCATTTCTCAAATTTGTGTTTACATTCATATGATCCAATCAATCAAGTTAAAAGAATTAGCTCTTGAAGGAGCATCATCCTAAAAGGGAGTAGCCAATCCTCGTTGACTTCACCAGCCGCCCTTCTGGGCCAAACCCTGAGAGGATAACCTTGGAAACACCACCAATAGCATTAAATAAAGCTTTTGTGGAAGGAGAACTAAAGCCAAAGATGCCCTAAACAACCATACGGTCAAGGAAAGACAAAAACCAAGTAACTAAGCAAGACTTTATTGGATGGCTTACCTCACATCACCTTGGACTTTAGTTCTACTCGGGAAACTCCTTCAACAGTAGTGCTTACTGCTCATCTCTTGTCATGCTCATCCATGAATGAAAGAGGCAAAAGGAATACTTACTCATGCAGTGATGGAGGTTACGAGCTGCCATGAATTGAACCCTACCAACCCAACACACAAATCCTTGGCAGCAGCATGATGAGCAATGAGGAGGCTTCGAATCTTCAACCAAGAAACAGTGTCATGTTTGAAATGACAGTGATATGTCCTCTTTTGCCGGTGAGATCACTTGCTTAAGGGTTACGCAACCACAAGCCTCTTTCTCGTAATGATTTCATGAACAGAGGCCATAGTTTAATGCTTCTTACTGGAGAGTCGAGCGGTCATCTGCTCCATAAAGTATACTTCATACATACTAAGTGTGGAAGGTTCAATTAGAAAGGAGAAGTAAAACACATTATTTTAACATGTGTTTTGGAGGATTGTGATGGTTATGACTCCTAAAGAATTAATCCCACTCTCTTTCATGGACTGAAGCCTTAAACTAATGCTTGCAATCCTCTCTCTCTCACGACACTCTCACGACACTATATTCTCAGCCTAACAGAAGTTTACATAAAAGAGCACCAAATTAACCGTAAACAAACAAACACTACAACCGTAATAACAGCAACAACGTCATTAGCAGAGTGTGTATGCTCAGCGCACTCAAGAAGGGGAGGGAGAACCGTTCGCCGGGTGGCCATTGCCACCACCTCCATCTTCGACGCCGTTGGCGCTCTGGCCGCTCGCCTCGATCCGACCGACATCGTTGTCGCCGACAGCTCCGCCGCTGCCTGCTTGGTCACCATCGGCCTCGCCTCTCCTTGCTTGGCCGAAGAAGGTATGCTTGTTGTTGTGCATCCAAACCTTGAAGACTCCCTTGTCGACGCCGATCTCCCGGCAGCACTCCTCCACCAGCACCTCGTCCCTCTTCTGCATCCGCCACCCCAGCCGCTCCGACACCTCCTGCATCCGGTCCTTCTGCTCCGCGGTGAACTTGGTCCGGAACCTCTTCTTCGGCTGCGCCGATTCCGCCGCCGCCGCTGGCGCGGCCACGGCTGCGATGGGGGCCGCCACCGGGATCGGCCCCGGGCCACCCGGGAGGCCGGCGCTGAGGGCGAGGAGCATGTGGGGGGCGGATGGGTAGAAAAGCGGAGGCGAGGTCGAGCTCAGATGGGGCCAGGGGTGCACCCGCCCACCATCCATATCCGCCTCCTCATCGTCCTCCCCCTCCCCGTCCTCGTCGCCGCCGCCTCCCTCCTGATCGTTGCTGCGGTGTCGGCGGTGGAGGGGTCCCGGGAGCCGGCGGTGGAAATTCCGATGGCAGCCGCAGGCGGCGCAGCGGATGGAGGAGGGGTCGGCGGGGTCGGCTGCGGGCGAGAGCATGAACTCGCCGCACCCGTCGAGGGCGTGGCCACCAAGGCTGGCCGCGTGGTTCTTCAGGCACTCCCGGTACGAGAACTCGACCACCGGCGGCGACCGCTGGTGGTGCTTCCGCAGCGCGCCGTTGGGGAAGGAGAAGGCTTTCCCTTTACCCTCCGGCTCCGCGACCTGTGCGCCGTCGTCCATGGTAAAGCAGCGTCCCAATCCTTGTTATATTATCATTATTATTACTATTATTATTACAGTAAATACAATAATTTAGACAGACAGAGAGAGAGAGAGTAAGAAGAGAGGCACAGCACAGTGGAAGGAATTAAGAGGAGAGGAAGAGAGGAGAGGAGAAGCAACTCAAACAGAGAATAATAGCGGTGATGATAAGAATAAACGGAGAAAGGGCGAGCGTAAAACCACATATAATTAGGGAGATGGAAGTCGCGGAATGACGACAAGTGGCATGCGGTGGACGCCACACGTTTTAAACCGGTTGGTTGGGTTATCGGGTCGGTTCGAGTCGGGATGTGCAATTGTGGTGGTTGTTCTTTGAAGCATATGCACGCTATTAGGTGGCGTTTCAAACTTCAGCTCGATATGCAATTAGACCCCAAAAAAGTGACAGGTTTGACGCTTCTATCTTTCTCTAAAATGTCAGTCAAACATCAGCACCTCACAACCAACCAAAAGGCAATGGTTGAGGAATTAATTCATAGATAATCCTAAATAAGTTTTTCTTCCTCTTGTCATAATCGTATTTGAGAATACTTCCAAGATTTCAATGGAGAAGTAAAGCATCTTTTTGATTTTTTTTTTCCTGCCCTAAAAACTACCAACCTCAAATCATAATTTAAAGTTCAATCTCTGCAACTGTAATTGAATCTTGTTTATTTTGATTTATTATTGGTAAGGTGTGGTGATCCCACCATTGTTCTTCTACTTTTTGTCCATAATCCATACCATATGAAGGTCTCAAAGGCCCAATGGCTTAATTTTGCAAATACTCCAACAACATTTGTATTTCGTTAAAACATACGAACCTTTAAGTTTCCATTAAAAAAAATATAGCATGAAAATTTTTTTGTCATTGAACAGCAAAGTCTTATGGCATAAGATAAGTTCTTAATTAGTGATATTAGAATAGGAAGCCGAAGTGGATGAATCTTGTGGAGTTGCTAAATAGGAGGAACTGCCAACTCCTCTCAACCAAACTCTGATAAACATGATAATTACTTTCGAGTTACATAAAGGTGATGAGTTATCGTGAGGATACTGTTTATAAGCCACTCGTAAAGGTAGAGTTGTTAAGAATGATTGACATATCGAAGATGAATATATGTTAAACAAGTTAGAATTAACATTAATAACTAATTCAATCAAGTATTAATTTGTGGGTAAATACTAATATCCTATTTTTAATCTTTGTCTTAAACATAAAGAAACACTCAATATCTCCTCCTATTATTATGTGACTTGATCATCTCCTCTTTATTCTTATTTTTTAATATAATTCTTAAAATTACAGAGTTTCATTAGTCCATTCTTTAGCCAAGAGTAGAATAGCTTGATTGTGGATTGTAAAAGACAATGAGATAAGGATTATTTTTTTTAAAAGTATGGAGCATGCAAGATTACGATTTGTGTATAAGGCAAAAGTCTATGTAGTTATGAAGTTGCAGAATGATAATTGAGATAGGGATAATATTCGTCGGGCTCAACATGTGATGTCCAAATTAGTACAATGAACAAAATCGTCGGATATGTTATGTTAGTTGGTAGAAAAAGATTCTCCGTATACTTTTATAAACGGCTAGGGAAAGTCACATACAAAAGATCCTCATAGGTCTATAATCGAGGTTTGATCCTAATTATCTTACTCTCATCTATATTTTTTATTAATTAGTGTTAGAGTGATAATATCACAAATCTCATTCGACCTTAGTCTTTATAAAAGTTGGACATCCAAGAACACATCAAACGAACCCATAGGCTCTCAGTGCAAGTTGAGTCAGAACTTGGTTGGGATCATCAGCTACTTCACAAGGTGAGAAAATGATGATCTTTCCTTGAAACTTTTAACTATTATCCACACCTTTTGCAACATCATTCGCGGTAAACTTTCACCGCTAATATACAACAATTCTTCAAGAAACATTAACCTTAGAGGTGGTTGCAAATAATATCGGAAATAAAAAAAAAGCATGAAGTGATAAGAGGTGGCATATATTACCTATATCTCTAAAGCTCAAAGACTTCAAGGATGGAGCAACACATGTTCCAACTTTGAGGATAACAATACCATTTGGTGTGCATGTCAATGCTTTAAATTGGCATCTCTCACGTTTTCTTGAAAAGCTCACAAAGGGTGGGGAATGCGACATACCAATTGCAACCCTCGGCATGCCTTGATATCCATCGAGCGTGTCATGTTAGCTATCTCAAATCATATAATGCCAATCACCATAATTGATATTTCATGAAAGATTTCGATTTGGCCCGTCCATCCATAATTGTATCCCTATGATGGTAAATCTATTTTGATTGATCAAGTAAATTAGCACCCTCGCTAAAGAACTATAGAGATGAAACGTTTGGAAAAAGAAGAGTGATTAATTCTTGAATCAAAAGTGATTTTCAATCCTAAAGAATCATTTTGACGCAGGAAGAAGTGATCATGATAAGTAAGAAAGCTTCGACGGTCATCGAGTTGATCTAATTAAAATTACTTATAAACTCCGAGACGTAAGCCAACATATCCAACACGCTCATTGCCTTTCAATTTATCACTGTTTATTTATATCTATAAAAAAATATAAATTTGAATTCTTCATAAAATATAAGGAAAAAAATAAACTATATTTCTTCCAACTCATGCATCGAACTCTTATGATACATACATGTGATATTAATAGAATGACAATTTCATAATTTTAAAGATTTCTTCTCCTTCAAATAGTAGTTTTTTTGTAATCATGCATTCATTTCCCTTCAATTAACTTGTCCTTAAATAAATATATTTTAAATATCAAATCATTAAACATAACATACTTTTGTCATCTATCATTATCATCCACAATTTGAAGTCACATGAGAAAAAGTAGCACGAAGGATTTTAAAATGCCCATCTCACTAATAGGTGCTAAAGTCATAGGATAGACTATAATAGTGGCTTCTCATGCGACCTAAAAATAATAGATTATAGCGATAGATTCTAAACTAAATCTCTTGAAGAACATGTTAATTAAAGGAGAAGAAATTCAAATTTAGAAAGGTTTCAAGGTAAAAGAAAAAGAAACATTAAATATTAGTGACTATGTTATTCCATAAATAGCCAAAGTTTTCAAAATTGTAAGATGCTTTTGTATGGCTCTAAAACGTGCTCAAGTCATGGTGTAGGTTCCACGCATGAGGGAGAGGTAGTGAAGACATTCCCAAAGTAGCACCTCTCCTTGTTGATGTTACATCACACACGTTTCCTATGCCTATAAAACATAACATATAGCCCTTCACACTTAGAATGTATAAGTGCAATCTTATTATTTGACTTTGGAATGTTGCCTTTTTGCATTCTAGTCCGGCATGTTGCGTCACGTCTCATGCAAACCCAACTTCTTTATACAATAGTTTAAGGTGTCCTCCCTAGTCTTGTCTCTCGTTATTATTCCCATCACCTCGGAATTGTTTGAGTGTGATAGATCCATAGTCTAAGATGATGTGTTATATTTTTTTCTTATGAAGGTCTGAAAGTTTAAAATTTTATTTGATCTATTTTTAAACTTAAATATTGATGTACTTGATCTACTTATCAAAAGTTAAAATATTTATAATTTTTTATTAAAATATTAGTATAATAATTTAGTAAATATATGATTTTTTTCACTTATCGTAATAATGATAAGAGTTCAATATAGTCAAACTTAAATAGTTGAAACTTATGCTTTTATTATTAGTGTTATAATTTGATAATTTAATTAGCGAAAAAGCACTAAAGGAGGTGAAATTATTTTTCTTTTTCTTACGGTAAGCAAAACCCAAAAAATAGCCTACAAATAGATAGGTACACTTAACTGTCATTTTCTTCACCTAATTTTCCATTATCTTATTCATCAACGTTACTTAGTCTTAACTACCTAACATCATTTCTCGAAGTGTCGATAAGATAACTACACATACGATTGGAGTGGATCTTAAGATGAAAGCTCTACCTCGTCCAGGCCATTCACGTTAAAGCTAAGCCCTACATGTATTATTCATGGACCATCTTAGTCAAATTGACTAAGATACGAAGACTTTGGAGATGAGATCTTAGTCAATTAACTTTTTTGTATTATTCTTAGACCATCTTCGTCGGGACAATATTGTTAAATTATGCAATCTTATTTAATCAGATATGATATATCAAAGTCTTAATTGGATTCTGATAAACATCATCGATCAATAAAAAAAACTCTATTTATGTT